ATTATATAATACCAGTTCTTTTAGTACTACCCTAGACTTGCAAAGAAATAAAAATATCCTTCATGTCAAACTCCATGAGATCAAGTACCAATCTGCAGACAATGCTCTTGATATGAAATAAAGGAATCATAAGTGGGCCTTAGACCTTAGCTTCAGGTAGTAAGACTTGATCCCAGTGTCAAAGGAGGAACTGAGTTGAAAGGTGGTATCAAGTGTGTAAGTTGTTGTTCGACAGATATCAAGTCTGTACCCTATATTTAAACCACGGCTAGTGCGTAGAACAAAAGACTCCACCGTGCTGTATTCGACATACAAGCACGTCATGTACGAGTGCGTTCCACGGTCTGTTGCACTACTAGTGTAGTAGCCAATCAGAGGCCGTGGTTTAAGCCAGATACAACACTCGTCGCCGAGCTGTACGTGAAAATTACTCGTGTATTGTCTCGCCTGCGGCTCGCCAATACACTCGTACTATTTCACGTACAGCTCGGCGACTCGTATTGTATCTATCACATACACATTCTCCTCTAAACTCTCTTTGTACAATTGCTGTAATATCACAAACAAAACTTAAGCAGTGCCAGGGGTTTCATTAAGATTTGGGGTGCAGGGAGTCCAAAATGTGAATCGCTAATTTGGTCTAGATTTACAGGGAGTCCAGCCCAAGCAAGCTCAACCAACCAACCCAAAATTTTTTTAGACCCTTCAGCTGTCTTTGGAAATATGGATGTCTTTTGAGGCTTATGGCCATCCAAATGATGGCTGGATGGGTCTCTGGGGAAAGCCTTGGCAGTGGAGCATTTTAGAGATTTAAATAGGCTGTAAGTCTGAAGAAACATTTTGATTTTTAAACATTCTCATCCTTTTGGATAAAAAAGTATATAATTACCAACTCAATAAAACTTATTACACAAGCCACCATTAGCTTTTACTGCATTTTGTATTTAGCCACCAGAGCAAAGTATGAATGCATAAAAAGTTAGCTTAATTTAACTTCACATGCAAAGATACACTCTCACCCCACATATGCCCCCAATAGTAAACAAATAATCCTCACAAGAAGTGAAAAGGCTTGTACAATTCCACTGTATTTGTGCATGAGAAAGTAGTGTTTACCAAGCATTATACCAGGTAGAAATGTTAAGTCTCAATCAACGAATTTGAACAGAATGCTGCCTACAAGCCAGCTACTTCTTACTGCTGATACAATCTTATCGCGTTGATTTAGAGCTAGATTTTCTGATAACTTTCACACTCAAATCGATTATATGGCTCAATAGATTCTTCAATAAACAAATTAGTTCGAGACTAAATTTCCAGGTTTGGTTGCATTGTTACAATATTGCACAACAGAAGCTGTGGTTTTTAAACATGCTATTCCTGCCCGTACATTTATAACCAAAAATTTGGCTACAGATAGACATTTTTTCACATGAAAAAATTGATTTGTGAAAATCAAAAACCTAAATGCTCCAGTAAGGCATTAGTTTCCATCCATACAACAAACATTATCAGGTTATCATAATATGGGTTTTTTTTTTTTTAATTCCCAATATACAGCAAAATATATCACTTGAGCTACCTGCATACAACACAACTTTCAAGAATTTCATTAGTTTACCAAATGTGTGAATTTACATACATTTTCCAGTAACTTTAAAGCAAGGAATATGGCAAGCCTCTCAGGACCCAAGCCATTCCTCCCTCAATTGAACCCAATTAATTAAGCAATCAGAAGCATTTATCTTAATTGGGAAATTAATTGCAATTGCATAACTGCTGCTTCCAAATTGACCCCATGGGCAAAAAGTGACCTCTCCAGTTGGCCAGTGATAACAGATGCTCCATCCTTATTCAAAACCACACACAATAACATGGGTGAAGTTGTAAAAACTGCAAATCCTGAAATTGTAGCTAGCAATTTTTCATTGTATTTATATCATATGAAAAAAAATGATTGAAATGAAGACAGATAAATCCTGGAATCAGGCATAATCCTGAGAACTTTTACCCATGCAACAACCAAGACTTTACAGACTTTATGTCTCTGGCTAAATATGGCAAAAATTGTCAAACTTTGGAAAATGTGTCATAATACCAGCCACCCTGATAAAAATAGGTTTTTCTTCATGATTCTCTCCCCTGGATTTCTGGGAGACATTGTAATGACACTGCTCTAAAACTGGGAACCTGCTTCCTCAAAGATATCTTATGACTTATCAATGCATAAAATCACCAGATTGTTTTAATATTAACATGGGTAGCTTAACAACCCCTTCTCTGTTGCTTCTCTTTACCATTTGCTTTATTCACTTTTTTTCTCTCTTTCAAACCCTCAATTTCACACACTTTAATCTTCAGTACACTGCAGACTGTACAGTCACAGTTCAAACACACGGCATCACTTTCCTACTGTACTGGAGAAAATCAACCAAGGATCTGCTTGCTGGCTTTCACACAAGGACTTGATCAATATTTTGAAATAAATTGGGTGTGAGTTGATAAAATACACCCTGGCTGTCAGGGTAATGAAATATGGAATGTGGCCATTTCTACAAGTAAATTGTGTATAGTAGGTACAATAAAGAGCATTTGAAGACCTACTCAGTGTGTATGTGTGTATATTTGTGTGTGTGCGAGTGCCTGTGTGCATTTTTTTCAGCATCAACTAGCAAACATGGTAAATATTGTCTAGTTTATTAGTGGTACTACCAATCAATAGAAAAATCAATAGCACATCCCTAATCATTAAACTTCTGGACTGGCTTTATATTATTTGCATCCAATACATGCTTCAAAAGAAACATATCTTGAATAGCAAACACTAGGTTATATCGAGAAAATATATATTTATCTGTATGGCTTCTTATAGTACTAGTAATTGTATAAAAATTTACACAATGTAAAAACCACCACTTCATCTTACAAAAAAGTGCACAGTCACAGAAAAGTTACCTGTACAGCTAAGTTATAGGTGTATATCATGCATAGGGCACATTCTGTACCCATATACAAAAATAGACATCAAAAGAATTTAATTTTGCAGTTGCTAATATGATATATATATATCCTTAATGGTTTGAGCATCATGCACTCTTGTGTACAGGTCAGATAATACAAGAAGTCTCAAAATTCCAAATGACATTCCAAGAGAATAACTTATCTATATGAGGAGGTATGCAATGCATGCATCTGAGTACATCTTACTGTTAATTAAATAACTGATGAAACACCTTTAATAACTAGAATTTAATTGTGCATCACTTTGCACTGAAATGAAATGCAGTCTTTTTCTTTGGTAATAATATGGTTTAATCAAGATAACAAATTGGAAGTTAAACCCGCACTTTTAGGCAAGACCTGGTTATACATAATTAGTATGCTCTAAGTAGCAGAGCATATGAATATGGATCATGTACTGGAATCTATGGCATATTCTTTATTTACATGAATATATATGGAAATGATAAGGATTTGACCACTTGGGTCCGATGACATAAACAGATGACCAGATGATGACCGCGAGAATCAGCAATGAAATTTATGAAAAGTTATATACGACTGACAAAATATGTTCTTTGGGTATAAATCATCTTATGTACTCTGCTAGGTGGTGCTCTTCCTAATGTTTAAAATCTGGACTATAAGTGCTAGAATGGCCCATTTCAAACTTTGATCAAAGTAAGCTAACACATTGGCCATATTAAAAGGACACCTTATATGATACAGAAAAGTGTACTACTGCCTTCAGTTTCAGGCTACAGGTTTGTGAGGAAACAATTTAACATTATACCAAGATGCTTACGATGTAAAAAAAATTAATGAAAAAAATGACACATTCAAGGATAAAGATTACATGCTTGTTTCAACTTTTACACTTAATCATTGAAACTTTTACACTTACTCATAAAGAATATAAAGAATTTTATGTTTGGATGAAAGAAAATTTTTGGATTTTGAAAAGCCATGTGAATGTGTATAATCCCTGGCCTTTGAACAATAAAGAGAAAGTTATTGATTTGCTCTATTGTTCTAGGGAAATCCAACAATTGTACAACTACCATATACTCACAGCTTGTGGCTAATTATATAACATATTTCTAAAACAAACATGGGGAATACGGACATGCAAATGTGATACAAATTCAAGCACACAGTATTATTGACATGTGACTAGAGTTCAACCAAGTTCAAGAAGCCCAACTAGGCTGATGTGTGCAAGAATTTGTTCGTTGACTTAAGCTTGAAGTGTTTCTGTTCTAAGAATCAGATATAACTATAATATGTTTGTTTTTGTCCTAAATATTAAAAGTGGCCGGGTTTAAGAGCTTCATTGATGCTGATATTAATATACTAGCAATGATGCATTTTAAGATGTTGCCAAGTTACAAAAATAATAACTTCTACAAGACACTGTCAATTATAAAACGTATATCATAACACATATTTTTGCAATTTATTTCGTTTTTTTTTTTCATATCGTCGAAAATTAAATATTAAATTAGATCTACTTCTTCGACAGACTTTTTTTCTGTAAACATAACTGAGCCACAAACATTTTTACAGTCATAATGTCTGACATACCATTAGTATATTAATCTCAGGTATATCCCCGAGCCTGCAGAAAAATTGAAACCATCAGTCACTGATGAACTTATGATACTACTTGAAGTCTTCTATCATTTACTGTCACTGGTACAGCGTAGGACTTGACTCGATATTTTCCGTAAGTATGTACACGTGAACGTCAAACTAAGCTCGTATTAACATTGGGAATAAAAATATAAATGCATTAAATTTAATAAAATTGACCCCACCCTTTAAAAGATTAAACTGGCCAGTCAGAAAAAGGACGCCCTAAGTGAAGCCTTACCTGCTACTCGTTCTTCCCGTTCACCGTCAGTGTGACTGAGTTGGGGTCAAGTCCTGGGTCAAGTAGCTGGTTTTTTTGACCAATCACAGACTCACATTCCAATTGCTTCGAAGTTACACATGTATTAGTATGGCGGTCGTGGTTGTCAACAAATGCGATTATTGGTCACATTTTGTCGAATTATGGCTGTAAAAAACTGTCTAATGGACAACTAGTCGAGTTATTGAATCTTTAAACGAATTCGTCAAGAAAGATGGTGAAACAGACGATCCAGATCTTTCTACGCGTCAAACCGACAAGGGCTAAGACCGGGGTAAGACCAACTTTCCGTTGTCGTTGATTATCTTTGACAGCGCTACTACCAACAAAAACGTTACCACTGTACCAATATGTTTCTTTGATGTAGTGGAAAAATATAAAGACGGGGAAAAGAAAGATAACCCGTTGAAAAGAAAATAATGATGATTGGTTGAATAAATTGATAATATTTGTTTGAAAATATATTCCGAGCATACAAGCAGTGGTAAATTTTCAACTAGGCTATTTTCACATGGAGTTGTACACTTTTTTTTATCATGCCCATTTAAGAGATTAAAAACTCCAGGGTATATAACCAGTAAGCCAAAATTAGGCTAGAAATAAAGGATGGTCTTTTTGCTGATTATTTTAAAAATATTTTAATGAATTAAAATTCATTATGTCAGCTGTTTAGAGGTGAAAATATTATTTTTAGTTTTTTGACTTTTCTCTGTTACTTGGGGCTGTATCAGAATAATACCAACAACTGAGTGGCATAAGTATTACAAAAATGGTGCAGTTGATTTTTTTACAGTCACTCCAGCTAGTTTTTATTACTAATATTGTTAAATTACACCAATTTTCTCTGGAGCTTTGTAAAGGCCATCTAAAATCTGTTTAAAAGATCTTAGCAAAATTCATTTGTGCTGGACTGTTCTTTATATCTTTGTCAAGAACTGTACCAGTTTTGGCAATTTTATCTGCAGAACGCATTGCTGTCTATACCCTATTGATGTAATACACTTTGACAGGTAAAAATGACACATGAAGACAAAGCCAGCTATACCTGGTATTATTACCATGGATTCTGTGTATTGTTCTGTACTTTAAAGCAAACTACACCTATTTCAGGATGCCCTTAATAGCCTGGATTTTATATAAAGCACCTATGGAGCCTTATACATGATCAATTTACTGGGTTTATTTTAATTAGTAATTTTTAAATATTTGAAAATATTTTAGTATCTTAATTGGGGCTTGTGAAAGGTAGTTTGAAAAAATTGCCTTAATTACAAGTTAGGACCAGTCAGAATGATACAATATAGAAAACTGTATAACTCAATGTGAAAAGGGCTTCAATTGTAATTTGTAAAATTATATCACTGAATTTTTTAAACATTATTTAGGTAATGTTTTAAAACGTCTCTAATGCTCAGTTAAATCTCCATACAATTTGGCAAGATGAATAAATCGAAGCTACATAATTAACTAATCATGATCTTTTCAATAGGCCAGTGACAACTTATCTATGTAAATGACTAATAGGACTTTCAATAAGTTTGAAAAAATTATTGAATAACATAGTTAACATATTAACAGAGAAATACATTTAAGTTTGTGACATATTTCTCCACTCTTAGCCTTATGAAATAGATGAAGATGACGGTGGGAATCCTAGAATCACCTTTACGGTACCTAGAGATCTTGCAGGTGGTTTCATAAACAACAAGAAAGAGCAGTACAAGTTCAGGTACATTTTTTTATGTAACATAAAAGATAGTAATAATTAATAAATGAAAATATTGGAGAGACTTCAGATCAAAAATTTTTAAAGTGAGCGCCACATGATATGGCCCACAGAGGTATTGCAAGATGTACCAAAGTGAACCATATTTTCCTAGAAATTCAGAGATAAAGGGTAAATAAAAAACAACTTTTGCCCGTCTCCTCCTCTTCAAATTTCACCAAAAATCATAGAATTATGAGAATATAAAACAACTTTAAAAACTTCTAACATTCAGTGAGCTTAACAACAATAGAATATGTATAAATGTATAAAATATATATAATGAATTATTGTTGATGAATTTCTTTCTTTCTAGATTTCAGAGGTTGTTTGATCAACCTACCAAACAAGAAGAAGTATTTGAAAATGTGGCCAGACCAGTCATAGACAAGTAGGTTAATAATAAAGTTTTTTGAAAGGAAAAAAAGACATTGTTAACATTTGTAGAAGATTTAGGTATATTGATATAAAATAATGTTGCCTTGATTTACATTTTAGTTTTCTTTGAAGGACAATTATTAAGATATAAATAATTATGTCGATAATTTTCTATCAAAATATTGCTACAGTTGGCCAGATATGCTGTTGTTTTTGTATCTGTTGGTGTTGCACAAATTTAGAAAAAATGTCTTTCTTTTTTTTTCAGTGTTCTTGAAGGCTACAATGGAACTATTTTTGCCTATGGACAGGTAAGACCACTATTCATTTGCTCAGTTTTTATATAGTTCAAAATCTTTGTAACTGAATTAGGGCTCATTCATTTCGTATATTTTGGATATGTCTTTTAAGTGCTTATTGTAGGAGATAGTGTGATTCATTTCAGTATATAGGTCTATGGTCAGTACTTAAATGTCTTATTAAAACATTTTTTTGAAAAATATTTTATCACTTTTTTTATCACTGCTGACCATAGCAGTTTACTGTTGCCTTGCTGTATATTTGAGAATTGGAATTCCAGCACTGCTACCAAATGTTTCATTATGACTGTGTGAATGTTTCAGACTGGGAGTGGCAAGACATTTACAATAACTGGTGGTGCTGAGAGATATGCAGACAGAGGCATAATACCAAGGTCTTTGTCATATATCTTTGAACAATTTGAAAAGGTAAGTTATGTAAGTCGAGATCATACACCCTGAGTTTCACAGATAACTGATATTATCAGCGTGCTTCTGCAAGTAACTGGAAACAGGCTGATAAGGGGGGTTAGTTTGTATCTCTGAAAACCAGAGTGGGGTTATACAGCATCTGTAAAAAAGTTATATTATAGATGTTAGTTACATGTCATTTTATCAATGCTGAATATATTCTATTGATGCCAAAGTTAGAAAGTGTGTGTGTGTGTGTGTGTGTGTGTGTGTGTGTGTGTGAGAGAGAGAGAGAGAGAGAGAGAGAGAGAGAGAGAGAGAGAGAGAGAGAATGGTTGGTCTGTATGTTTATTTTAAAAGTTAGATGTTTAAGCAACAAAAGCAATTTGTCTTTTTGTCAGTCACATGGAATTGCTTTTTTAAAAAAACATTTTTGTAGTCTGTTGTGCAATCTAAAAGGATTTACAAAATCTTTGCAGGCCCATGTGTTGAACAGCTACACCTTAGATCAATCTTCTTTTTAATTAATTTTTCCAGAATCCAGGCTTTGAACATTCCACTCATATCTCATACCTTGAGATCTACAATGAGAACGGATATGATCTGCTGGATCCCAAACATGAAGTGGCTAAACTAGAAGATCTTCCGTAAGTGTCTTTACATCATGTTGTTTACTCTAAACACTGCGGGATATGCATTTTGTATTTTGACCACTAGTCTGAAATATTTTACTAACCAAAATCAAAGTGATAATCTTCTCCAAAGAAATGTTTCACTAATTTTTTCCCATAACTTTATTGTTCTAATTAACAGTGAAATAGATGACCAAAACAAAGCTATTTCTAATCCAGAAATTAAAGTTCCACTTAATATATACATTAAATTTATTCGTTTTCAGCAAAGCACTGGGGATTTAACAATAATTCTGTCATTGTAATTTGCAGCAAAGTGAGTCTGATGGAGGATTCTGATCAAAATGTTCACCTGAAGAACCTGTCCACTCACACAGCTGGTAATGAGGAGGAGGCCCTCAACTTGCTGTTTTTAGGAGACACCAACAGGATGATAGCTGAGGTAAGTGGTGTAGAACCTGTCCATCCACTCAGTCCTCCCACATGAAACACTGAAACTATATAAATTTGTAATGCTTAACTCTTGTGTTATAAAAATCTTAAGTCCTATTCCATAAAAGCACAGATTCTTTTTAAACTTTAAGTGTATGCACACGCTGCTTTTTAAAACTTGGCCCCACCATATTTTTACCATCTTGCATCAATTTACAACTCCCCCCCCACCCCC